CACCTTGCTGGCCGCTAGCATTTCTCATTTTCTCACCGCCGCTTTGAATTTCCATGTTTTTCTTCCAACGAATTTTCAATAACTCGCTCTAGCTCTTTCTCTGTTATCCACGTTAGGGTACACATAAAAAATAAGCCGAAAAAGACACGACTTTTTCTTTTTAAAAGTCCGGGCGGCCATGTGATTTCCTTCCAAATAAAACCTTGAGTTGCATTTGGGTTCCCATACCTGTCGATTGAGTTGTTTTACATTGGTATGCCTGTGGTGCGAACGGACGGTCGCTCGATCGCTCGCTTGGTGTACGGTCACGTGATTACCAAATTTTCTGGGATGGGTAGATTACCACATTTCCTTAGCTATGGGGCTTCGCGCGCGGGCGGAGTACCGCTATAAACATTTAACGATAGAACAAGTAATCGAAATAATATGAATAGTACCCTGAATGATGTGAAACTAAAAACTGTGTCATTGATGTTCATCGTTAACAGATTCTTGAGAGTGGTTACATGGCAGCCCGGAATTGGTCAAAATTTTTATCGATCGAATTCAACAGTTGTTTTATTATTCATTCATTAAAATTATTGATACTTTACTGAAAAATAAACTAACCAGTATGCCCGTCTACTCCGTCTTCATTTGCTTGTTACTCGGCAAATACAGGGACGATTTAAATTTTTTCAGGGATTCTTTAGTCGCCAGGTATTCTCCAAATAGCGTTTTCATCCATGGTGTTTTATATTTGCTCTGTTTTTAGGTAGTACTAAGTACTGACTATTTTATCTTTGCAAAATGTGAAATTCTTCGCTATTTTTTTCTCGCACAATTCTTGCACTAAAAAGCGCAACCTAGTTCTCAGGCTGTCCCGGTTGCATTGCCATCTTCTGCACAAAGAAATAATAAGCCAATTCACACTAGCGCTCTTAAGTGCACTTGATACGTACTCATTTTCATTTCTGAGGGAGTCTGGATTACGTTAATCTCGACTCTTCGTAAAATGTATCAAAGAAGTAAAAATTAATCTAAGCTGAGTGTCATTAAAAACATTCATAATTGCGATAGTTCGCGTCATATTTTTCCTCTTTTTTGGTACAAAACGTCTTTTTGAATGACGCGTGCTATGGGTTTGTGCGGAATCACCCAAGTGTAGCTCGCGTACTTAAAGGGACTGGTTCACGATAATGCGCATGTGTGAGTTCTGACAGTAGCTGATTGTTTTTCAACCAATCGGAAGCGGGTTAGATGCACGCAAGTAAATTTACAAAATTCAAATTAATTGTTCGCGACGCGAGAGTATTTCCGGGCATTTGGTTTGATTTTATTTATCCCCATAATTCAAGTTTATTCTTTGTTACTCCTCAGATATATGTTGCAGCCGATAAGAATAAAATTTACAGCCCTGTCCTGCTTTGAAACAAACATTTACCAACGTGTATTTTTACGAGGTCGTATCCACGGTAACAAAGCGGTCACCGATCGGCAAACAAAATTTGTAAACAAACATCTTATTACTGTTCTCTCAGTTCGCCTTATATAAACCCAGAAATACCTACAAATAGCGCTTGACCGGTGACAAAAGCACACAACATATGAGTATAAAGATTATCCTTAACTGAGCATAAATTTCAATTGCTTATCAGCAAATGAACAAATTCATTCGCGTTGCATCGGGTCAGTGTTCCGCAAAACAAATGTTATCGAGTAGCACACATAAAGAAACTAGATTATAAACAGAATATTCAGGCAATAATTTATTTTAAAAACATCAATTCTTAAACATATACGATGGTAAAGCAAAGATACAAGGAACATTTCAAGTGTACCAGATCGGTGAAGATCGCGCCGCCTGTTGCGGTATAACTACAGGTCGGAGTCAAAAATCAAATCAAAGTTGAACGAACTCATGCTTTTAACCACTTTCCAAGTGTCCTGTATTCTTTTCGTAAGCCACACACTACTCCTAGAACTATACCAGATCGATAGGCTAAGCTTCTCTATCTCCAAAGACTCTTGAGAACGTCCTGTTGCCGGACGGCCACGATGCTCTTCTGAACCTCCATGATCAAAATGATCATGATCATTTTTTGCGTCTTCTTAAAACGTAACCAGTCAAACGACACAACCACACGTTAATCACCACTACCGAAGTATAACTAGACCAGCCAAAGTGACGGATGTCCGAATAAAACGAAGGATTTTCAAAGATTGTACCGGTAATGGCGATTTCGAATTTAGTGTTGACGCGACAAATTGATTCTGAAGAGAAAAACGGCGCGCATGCGCATTATCGTGAACCAGTCCCTTTAAGCTCCGTGTAAATGGACACAACATTGTTGGAAGTTGATGAGCCCGTTTGTAAGTAGCTAAAAGTTTCACCGGTTGCAAACTTTGCGAGACAACTCCCAACAACACTCAACAACATGCAACAGGTTGTGCAAACGGACGCAACATGTAACATCCAACAATGTTGGGTCCGTTTGCAGGTAACGAAGAGCGTGAAAGTTTTAATGACCAGACTTTTTGGATTCCTTGTTACCCTGGTGATAAGCGTAAAACAAAAGAATTCATGCAGTTGTAAGTAAGGTCTACCCCTTACTTGGGGGCGCACTTGACCAATGAAAGGACAGCGGCCTTGCGGCTGAAAGCACGTGGGCGCACAATTCCAACTCCCACAGGGAAAGAGCTCTTTGCATTCTGCAGTCACGTGCCTTTTCAAAACGACGCCAAAGTTTTACTTTAGCAGTTGTATTTTGAAGGCGTCTTTCAAGAAAACTTTGGTTAGAAAATTCTACGTTGAGAAAAAGGCTGTGATCTAATTCTGAGGCAGCTAATCAACCGCACGAAAATTTGTGCTCGCAAGTATTGCATCAGTCAATTCCACCTGCGCCCAGCCCCCCTTCCCGGGGGCTACTGCGGGGCATTTGCCCGCCTTGTCAGTCCCGGGAGGTGGGGCATCAATTTTTTTTGCAAATTTTGCACTGCCCGGGGGCCGGGCAATTGCCAACCCGGGGCCATTCCCGAGCTTTTGACACGCACGCGGTTTCCTATCAGAATATAACTACACAGAGGGTTTTACTGCAAAAAAAGCAGATTGGCTTATCTGTTCTCGATTTTATGTATGCATTTCTTCATTGCTTATCAAAATTACATAGCCAAATTGGAGCTATCGATGTGAATCAACGTTTTTTTTTTTTTCAAATTTCTGTTGATACTATTTGAATAACATCCTTTCATATTTATAAAACTATTTATAACATATAACTTTACAGCGCTCTATTAATTTTAATGTCAATAATTTTATATCAATACTAAAACCATAACTTGCTGGTGCGTGTCGTCGTTAGAATCGTCAGAATCCTAGCGCGTCGTTGGAATCCTAGCGCTATTACAAAGGAAGACGTTAATTGAAACAAAAAATCGCACATTAAAATGCTTCATTAACCCATTCGCTCCTGGAGATTTTGCTGAAAAACGCGTTTTGAAGCTATTCGAGTGCTTTTCTGGTCACTATCGTGCTATAAAGGGCTAAAACTTACCACAAACCGGTTTGCAGGTCGTACACTTGGCGGCCTTCTGATCCAGATGCAAAACATCAGCTTGCGCAGTTCGGACATGCGCAGAAAGCAAAATTTCGAGATTGGGTTTAAAAGTGACACAGCAGTCTTGACTTTTACTTTTCGCTTTTTCTCCTCCCTTCTTTTTTCGCTTTTCTTGCCTCATTTTTTTTTTCTCTTGCTGGGTATTTAGTAGGCTTCATTTTGGTGGGAAGAGTTTTTAGGAAAGCTTTTAGGATCTTAGGATTAGGTGAAAGGAAAGGTAGGTGGGTAATGGAACAAGATTTTCATGGTGATTTTCAGGTCAATGTCACGTGGTTTTTTGCTTCTTTCTCTGGTGTCCTTGACTGAATTGTGCTCATTGTGGTATGGTTTGAAAGATCTCTTCACTCTACACAAGTTAGCGAAGGAATTTGTCCTTGACCGTTAAAACTGATGACGTCACAAAGGGTAGAAAGGACCTGGATCCGCACGGGCGGTTACGGGCGGTTCAGGGGCGAATGGGTTAAAAATGGCACTATTCGACTGTGCGATCGATGAAAAATGTAAGGGGGGAGTTGCAGTGTTGACGGAGGACGGGGCATTCGCCGCCTTTTTTCGTCCCCACCCTGGGGGATTTAAAAGCTCAAGAGTCCCCACCCCCGGGAATTTGCCATCGAAGGCAAAAAAAAATGCTAATGCCCGGGGGTCAGCCCGGGGGCAGGTGGAATTGACTGATGCATAAATTGCATCTAAACACACAAACAAAACGGAGTGTCACAGCAGTTGTGCACACTAATATTCAGGAAAATCAAATTTCGTTGCGAAGAATAAATTTCATCACGTGAAAATTTGGACTTTACAGCACGACAAATTGCAGACACAAACAACGTCAACCTAGTAGAATGAGTCATTTATCGTATTTCTGTAGGGAGCCTAAAACTATAATCCAGGCAGAAAATAGTAATAACAGGAGAAGAAGTGTTTCTAATAAAGACCTGTCGTAATTTAGAATACAATGAACGTTTGCAATATTATTTTGTTTATCCAAATTAACAATGAATTGCAGTTAAGTGGTAACTCACGTGACTGATGCTTTGTATCGTTTGATCGACAGATGTCTTTGGCTATTGCCACGTGACAGTCCACATTTTCTGTCTCGCTAACGTTTATTACAAATAAAGATAACTACAAAATACGACAGCATGGCAATAACAAATAGCGTCAAAAATTTTGGAAGTTATAATGCAGTGCAGTTATTACTTCTTTTTTTAGAAGGACTATTTAAAGAACTAATTGGAACACGTACCGTAAATGATCTTACAGACGCCCGAAGCCTTTTGTCTAGTGACCGCCCCTCATCCGTAATCATTTACGGGTATAATTTAAAAAATGTGACCCTACAATTTATGCAAAGATGTAAGCTATAATAGTTATTAAAATTGACAAGAACTTCCTTTAACTGCTAAGATGGAGACCTGGTTTTGGATTCTTGGCTGGGTTCTTTCATTTCTAACCATCACTGGAAATGGATTCACAATGTTCCTCGTTTGCAGCAGACGAAATCTCCGCACCAAAACCAACGCATTTATTGTTTCACTTGCCGTGGCGGATTTCTGTGTTGGTTTGAGTGTTATTCCTTCAATGTTCTTCTGCACCGACATTATTACAAACACCTGCCACAGGTCTCAATTGTGGATCATGAACATACGGTTGCTGTTTAGTAACACGTCTGCTGTAAACTTGTGCGGCTTAGTACTGGATCGTTTTATTGCCATCGTCCATCCTCTAAAATACATCACTTTGATGACTTGCCCTCGAATTATTCAAGTTATTTCCTTCTCTTGGGTTCTACCAGTTAGTTTTAATGTGCTAAAAGTTACCCTTTATACGTTTCATTTCAAAACATTACCTGTCCCTTTTATTTGGCCGAGTATTATTTTCTTCGAGTTCCTACCAACTGCTGTATTAATGCTCTTCTTTGTATCAATGATATTTCACGTACACAGGCATGGTCGGTCAGCACGCATCGTAGCAGGGCAGTTACGTTTTAACCATCAGATGTCGTTTAAAATCCATCACAAGAGGTCTGCAGTGATAATGATGGGTCTTGTGATAGGAGTGTTTATTGTTTGCTATGGGATGTATCTGCGTTGCAGTTTTACAATACTATTCCACACCACCTCATGTAATGATGAAAACTACAAAATTCCTTTCTTGGTTGTAAAAGCAGCCATTAACCCTCTGGTTTATGCCTTTTTCAAAAGAGACATAAAGAAAGAGTTTAAAAGACTTGTTGGAGCTGTCTTTTAATTGAAGAAAACATTAGTAATGTTAACGAAAGCCTATCACTTTACGAGCGTATGTGTAACTCGTTGTTGTAGGATGTAGGTCTTTTAAGACGGTGAAAGACTTGAGAAGAAACTGATAAATCTGTGACTCTTGGACTGAAAGCGAATTGAAATTTGGAAAAAATGGCCTCTGAGGACAGAAAACAAGAACATTTGTACGCTAAGAGAATTTAAAATACTAGGGAAAGGACTTGGGATCAAGATTCACACAGTGCTGGGGGGCCGAAAGTCACATCACATGCAATGGAATTTCCGGCGTTTGAGTGGATACGAATTAGCCGGAAATGAGATATTTCTGCGGCACGGGAGCAGTGGGGACTGGAGCAGTTGAAGTGCATTATGGGTAGAATGCAGCGCTATAAAAGGGATGCTTATCACGTGGGAAAGCATTCTAGGCCCACACCTCGTCTAGCTGATGTTATTTTTTTATTTATTTATTTTTGTTTTTAGTATATATTTGAGTGAAAGTTCGAGTTTCCCAGTGGTTTCTTAGCTTGTTTGCGTTTCCTTAAAGGAACAGTATCCCGTTACTGCGCATGCACCAAACTTTGATTTTTGGACAGGATGTCCCGAAATCAAAAGATGCGAGGAGAGTAAGAGAACCTTGAAAAATCCGTTTGCATCGCGCTTGGCCGAGTTCAATACTACACTAAAACTCCTCAGGATTACAGATCAATGATATATTGTTCCTGTTAAGTTTTGATTTGGGCCAACTCTGGAGTTTTTGGTGTTACTTTTATTGCTTTTGGCCGGAGGACCAAAAGATGGGAAGCGCTTTGATGCCGAGTGAAGGCTTATTTCTTCTGCTAGCTTCCATACAAGCTCAGATAATTGTGAAAGGAATACGCAGAAATGGAACAGCAACAATAGAGACTTTAAGAAAGAAACCATTGAGACATTGATGTGACTGGTTTGATCTTGTGGAGGGGAGCTTCGTGAAGCAGAATGTTTTGCAACGACGCGTCAGTAAACTTTTAAATGAATCTCCCTACGGCCGACAAAATCAAACAAACAGGCGCTACATGTTTAGAAAAAATAGTTCCATGAAATCATAATATAAATTTTTTGACTAACCTTTGCGATGATTCATAGCGTTGAGATTCCATTTTTATTTGTGTCTTTCCAACGTTTGAGGCTAGAACGCGAGCAAATCAGGTAGATATTACTGGACTTTGAACAATTGTCCTCTGACACGAGTTTCACATTAGAAAATCTGTTTTTAAAGCGAGCGGAAAGAGATTTTCGGGTCGCGAGGCGGCCCTGCTAGCGATAAAATCGCGATGAGTCTTCCTGCCGCGAGCCAAATTTTAAATGAGACGAAAGATTTCTTCGAAAGTCTAAAATATTGCCTGAGAATATAAACAACTGTCCGTCGGCGGTGCGGTCCGGAAGGAAATCTTGTCGAGTCAATTTGACAGTTCTATTGTCTTTTGAAGAAAAAACAGATGACGCTCGCGCGTGCGCATAATCGGGACACTGTCCCTTTAAATTATTTAGAGTTTGCCGTCCTTTCTTGGAATACTTGTTTTGTAAATAAGGGAGAAGACCTTCCAGCCGTGTAGCCTTTGTAGGATGGGCTTTTCAGAGCATGAGCCATGGATCCTACCCAGATTTCCTGCCGAGTTTTTTTCCCCACTGAGGTTTTTTTCGGCAGGTTTTTTCTGGCCTCTGTTCTGACAGTATTCTGTGTAAACTGTCCCTCAGCTCTGTTCTAGTTTTTTACACCACATATTTGCATGTAATAGAAGATGTTGTATAATGTATCTGCGGTGCTCGGCCGAAACAGCCAAAATAACTCTAATGGTTTTTCTATTCATGTTGTACTGCGTAGTGGAGCCGAAATACTTTTTAGTATCACATCGTAAGAGTATAATAATTTAATTTTATGTCCACATTCTCCTAGCAGAGCCTTTCTTTCATTTGGCGCACTGTTAAAAAAGAAATACTCTGCATGAATCGAGTAAGATCATTGTTGAGAGTCTCTGATAGGTTTTTCGGGATCCAGGATTTCTCTTATTTGCTCGGGATTCGGGATTTTAAAGCAAAATCGGGCAAGATTCGGGATTGAAAGTATGCGTGCGAGTTAGAGTGCCGAAAATAATCTTCGGAGCTACGGGATTACACGAAATTTTGGGTCGGGATTACAGGATTGAAGAACCCTACATTGTTGAGCATGTGAGTTAAGTAGTAGCAACTGCTACACATGTCCAGCACTCTCGACTAGATTTCTGTGGGCAAAGCCTGGAGTCCAATGGAGTCTGTTCGAAAAATGAAACCGGAAAAAAAAAAAA